AAAATGTTTTCTCTCTCCTCAAAACGAGCTCATTTTCTTATATCATTAGTGGGATCGGCCCGGCCGATCGCCACATCGTCCCGGGACGATCAGACCAAAATTGATCGTCCTGGACGACTCCCAGAACTATTCTCAGGACGATATTTTCTACAGTGCAGATCGGCCTGGACGATCTCACTATTGTCCCGGACGATTCAGTCCAGAAATCACTCCAGAGAACATTCCAGAAATCAACTGTTTTCAATACACTGATCGGCCTGGACGATCTCACCATCGTCCCGGCCGATCCTGGGGAAAAATCACTTTTCCTAGCAGCTACAGCAAAGGAACGAGGTCTCACATATGAGTTGAGAGGTGTAACTCTATGTTGCATGCCTTGGTTGGAGACAGAGCGGTACACTATGGCACTCTAGCTCCAACAATTCAGCGCTACGAATCAGCTCGAGTAATTTTTCTTTCATTCTTCTTATTTTGTTTGAAACAAAAAGGTGCAGGGTTGAGTCTATTAGAGCAATAAAAGTGAATTTTTAGAAGAATGATGAGAGAAGTGAATTGGGATAAAGAGAGTATGAGAGAAATACTTATGTATGATTTTCTCGCAATTTTATAATGAATTTTTTGGTGTAAGATGATTCCGCAAATTTTTCCTATTTCAACAATGTCTAATGTTTTTTTCACTATTTTTTATTCTTATTTGTTTTACATTGTGTGATTTTATTCTCAATATTAATAATATTTTTATATGATGTAAAATTTCAAACTAAATGAGTTTTGCTCTGCTAGGGTTCCGCCTCCGCCGCCCTTTCGTCTCTTTCGTCTCTTTCGTCTGGTGAGATTTTTCTCTCATTTCTCTTGATTTTGGGTATGGCGGCTACTCCTCCTCGCGATCTATATAAATCTTTTTCAAAAAAAAAAATATGATGTAAAATTTTGAATTTTGTATAAATAAATATAATAATGTAGATTTTACATAAATAAATAATTATAATATTAAATTTCGGAATAGGTATGAGAATTGTGAAGCACACGAAACTGACGAGGCCTACCTAACAAATTCTTTCTCTATTATAAGCTAATAATTATTATTATTATTAGCCTGTTAGCAACGTGCCATATGTCGGTAGAAGTTGTCCGATGTGATCACATAATTGTACTAAAATTTATTTATTTTGCACTTTTTCGAATAACATAATTGAGAATCACATATTTATGAACTTTTCAATTAATATTGTGAAAACCATATGGTAAGTTGCACCTTCGTAAACTTATTTCCTGCACAAAATGAGGGAAGCTCCAATCGAAAAATATTGGAAGGGAAAAATGCTTCTAAGATGAATCTCTTCCCATGCAATAGTCAGGAATTCTTGACGATATCGAGCAGGAACAACCTGTTGTTCTTGAATACCCCGATTCAAGGCCAAAGAATAAAAACTAATAGATATATCAATTATCTGATAGGTTAATTTAAAATTTTACTAGAAGATCGATTTACAAACAAAGCTGAATACTCAAATGAGAGATTGAATCCCAAATGAGTGAATTTAGAACCAAGACCTCTAA